AGCATAGATGCCTAGGAACAACGAAAGATTGTGGTTTGGCTCTCTATTAACCAGAGTGACAGTACACTCAGTAAACACAACTAACGGTATAATTATAAGGAACTTCAGCTATTTCAGCAATGACGAACTGTTGTTGTTTTGTTTTGTTTTTGAGTTGTCAAGGGCATGATAAAGTCAGCATAAAGTGGAGAAATTTATTCTGATTAGATACACATCTCCTATTCGGGCGGATAACAGAAATTAGAAATAACTGTTACTATCCCTTGTTAAGAACAAAGTGAATATTCTAAAACTAGTCTGTCATTTTAACATAAAGAAAAAAAAAACCTAAATTCTCCTATTGCATTAATATAACAATTGCCAGTAAAGGATTCACAATCCTTTTTAAAAGTTTTATGAGTAAGCCCATTAAAGCAGAGCTAGTTTAGTGACAACTTTAACATATTTCATTGTCTCTTTCCACACTCATTATTTGCAGGTGCAAATAAAGTGTTATTTTCCTCAAACTTCAATTTGCCCATTCAAATATATGTCTATACTGAGGGAGTGGGCATGGTGGCTCATGCCTGGGATCCTAGCACTTTGGGAGGCCGAGGTGGGCAGATCACCTGATGTCAGGACCAGCCTTATCAACATGGCGAAACCCTGTCTCTATTAAAAAATACAAAAAATTGCTGGGCATGGTGGTGCACAGTTGTAATCCCAGCTACTTGGGAGGCTGAGGCAGGATGATTGCTTGAACCTGAGAGGCAGAGGGTGCAGTGAGCTAAGATCATGCCACTGCACTCCAGCCTGGGTGACACAGCAAGACTCTGTTTCAAAAAAGAAAACAAAACAAACAAACAAACATATGTATTTACTAATCTTGCACAGTCTGGTACATTCATTTTGCTTCCAGACAAAATTTACTCACTTTTCCCTTAATAAGCCAAGCTGCACTCATAATTGTATATGCACCTTCCTATTTCTTTGCTATTTCAGTTCTTAGTATAGCCTCAATAACCCATATAAATTACAACTTTTAACCAATTTCTGTTTCCTCTTTTATTTCCTCACAGAGATAATGGCAGGCAAGTAACTGAGTATGACTTGAAATATACAAACATTTAGCAGGCCAGCATAGGTCAAAAGCAATCATTATAATGTCTTCTGTGGCCACACATCCCTTTCGCAATTTTTTTTTTTTTTTTTTTTTTTTTTCATGATACAGAGTCTTGCTGTCTCACTCAGGCTGAAGTGGAGTGGTGCAATCTCAGCTCACTGCAACCTCCACCTCCCAGGTTCAAGCGATTCTTGTGCCTCGCCTCCTGAGTAGCTAGGATTACAGGCATGCACTACCATCCCTGACTAATTTTTGTATGTTTAGTACAGACAGGCTTTTGCCATGTTGGCGAGGCTGGTCTCAAACTCCTGGCCTCAAGCGATCCACCCACCTCAGCCTCCCAACGTGCTGGGATTACAAGTGTGAGCCACTGTGCCAGCCCTTTCTGCATTTCTTTAAGTGGTAAAATAAAACATATACATTAATATAATCTAAAGGTTTATCAGCTCTGAAACATACACAAATAAGGGGCAAAGCTGTGCAAATGGTGTATAATACCATGCTTGGTGACCAATGTTTTTGCATTCTATCTTTCTTAGAAATTATCTAAGCAGCTAAGATTATTCATCAGTTTCCTTGATCTAGTATCGATCTAAATTCTCAGTTAATTAGAGATCTTGGAAATTATGTTTAAGCTGATATATTACAGAGTAACATAATCACTGATGACTGATGACATAAACTATTTAGGAAATTCAGATTAACTACAATCTCCACGATAAAACACTCTTCATCACTCTCACATCATCTTGCTTTATGTTCTTCATGGTTTCACAAACTGATATCATTTTGCTTATTTATTTGCTTACTTATCTTTTTGTGAATATTTTCCTACTAGATGTAAGCACAATAAATAAAGATAATTTGTCTTCCTTAGTGCCTAGAACATGTAGGAGATATTGAATAAATAGCTTCAAGTAAAGGAAAACAGTAATTCTTCACTCAGCCTCCTTGGTAGGTTCTTGGAAACTTTGATTTTAAGTGAAGCTATATATAAGGAAACCAATTTTACCATAGACAAATGGACATGAAGAAGAGTTAAGTTCCTACAGCATATTTCTGATAACAAAACCCACCAAACTTCTAAATAAAGACTAAAACACTTTCAATATTGAACATTGACATAATTGTGAGCCATACATACATTTAAGAAAGATTAGTAAAAATAAGGAAGAAAATTATTTGCCTGCTTATTTTAGTTTAGAGTTCGGTGGCCAGAGCCTGTCCTGGCAGCTCAGGGCTCAAGGCAGTAACCAGCCCTGGATAGGACGCCATCCCATTACAGAGCACACTCACACACACCCACAGTCATTCACACTGGGACTACATAGACACACCAGTTTGCCTAACATGCACATCTTTGGGACGTGGGAGGAAACTGACCGGGGTACCTGAAGAAAACTCACGAAGATGGGGAGAACATGTAAACTCCACAGAGACAGTGGTCCCAGCAGGCAACCAATTGTTTTTCCTCATCAATGTTATAACGGAAGAATATGATTCAGGGATCTGCTGTACATGAATAAAATCTTTACTTATCATAATTGTACCAGATGTGAGGAATAGGTTTCATTTTACTGTTTTTACAAGTAAGGAAACTGAGATGTTAAAGAGCCTTTAGCTATTGGATGACAGACTCAAAATTTTGGTTTTCTGATGTCTACTACAATATATCATATTATTCCCCACAACTAAATAAATATGTTTGTACAAGTAAAAAATGAAAATAAAAAGTCTTGTGTAGATATGATTCCTAGAGAGGGTATTTGCTACGCATTGCATCCTAATGGGTGCCCCTTTAGGCAGTGACTTGTTTGTTTTTTGGATACAGAGTCTCTGTCACCTAGGCTGGAGTGCAGCGGGGCAGTTTGGCTCACTGCAGCCTCTGCCTCCAGGGTTCAAGTGATTAGCGATTCTCCTGCCTCAGCCTCTCCAGTAGCTGGGATTACAGGTGCCTGCCACCATGTCCGGCTAATTTTTGTATTTTTAGTAGATATGGGGTTTCACTATGTTGGCCAGTGTGGTCTGGAACTCCTGACCTCAGGTTATCCACCTGCTTCGGCCTCCCAGAATGCTGGGATTACAGGCATGAGCCACCATGCCCGGCCAAGGCCGTGTTTTGATGGAAGCCAATGTCATTAGACTACAACTTCTTCTGTACGAGTTTCCCCCACTCTCAGGGGCTCTCTGAGAGAGTATTATTTCTTTGAGATCCTGATCTCTTTGGAATAGTTGTCATAGAGGACCAAGGAAGTTGTGTCTTCCCTGGCTTTTGCTGTAGCAAAAGCTTGATTGCTGAAATTGGCTATTTTCCCTTCTCCTACATCCCAACACAGCATCCATTATTCTTCCCTTCAGTGCTCTCTTAGCAAAATCAGTCCAGCCAAGGCAGCTGACTTTATGTGGTATGATCCCATGGGGATTCAAGCTTTATTTCTGGATTCTTTTAGGGTCCCAGGGCAAGTCAATGTTAAAGAAATACTAATAAGCTGCTAAATGGAAAGGGAGACTAGGCCTTGGCTGGCTCCAGTCCTAAGCTTCCCCTTGTCTCAGAGGGAAGTCAATGTTCACGGCAGGGCACATGGAGTTACCAGTTGTCCACCCAAAGGAACTCTTCTAACCAGGGAAAATGTTGTACTAAGATTGCCCTCCTGTTGCAGTAAGCCAAAATCACACCACTGCACTCTAGCCTGGTGACACAGGGAGGCTCCGTCTCAAAAATGAAAAATTTAAAAAAGACTGTCCTCCTTCAACTCTTTTTTTTTTTCTATTAAATGAGAGTTTTGTATTAAACTGTTCAGAATTGGGTTGACCTTGTTTTTAGGATCCCACATTATCTCTTTTGAATAAAACATGTTGTTGCGTGACAGCCCTTAGCGTTTTTGTCAAATCATTTCCCATGTGAATCCACTTTATCTTCATTGTCCTTGGCTTAAGAAGATGGTATCTGATAATGATGATTTAGAGGTAATTTCTGCTGACCTCATCCCTGAATCAGAGGAAACAGCAGAGAGTAAGTTCTAAGTTCAGGGCCCACACCGTATCAAGTTTAGGCCTGGGGAAGACAGTGTGACTCTTTCCAAATCCTCCAAAACATGACTGGGCTCCGACTGCCCAGGGTCTCACTGATAGTCAAGGCTTGGGCTCCTTTTTTCAGAAGAGTAAGATTAAAGAAAACTTCTGTAAATTAAAAAGTGTTGGTGCCGAGATGGCACTCCATGGATCACATGGAGGGGACAGAAGATTGCAGAACCGGCAATGTCCTGCGTGGAAGCTGGGCCACCCACAGTGGCCTGGGAAGCCTCTCAGATGCTGGAGTCTATTGGGCTGTTGATCACCTTGGGTTGGGCTATTTCATTGTTATCACAAAATAAACAGGATGCTGAAAGTCATGTTCTGGCAGAGAACCAGCCAGCTTCACACTGGTCCCCTAAACCAATCCTCACAGCCGGGCTGGGAGACAGGTGTTACCTTTCCCACCTTACAGAGAATGAAACAGAGAGGCAAAGCCGCCGAAGGACCCCACACTTCCGACATCGCAAAGTAGGATCTGAGTCCGGGATCCTCCGTTCAAACCCGCTAGACTTTCTTTCCCATGTGTAGACTGCAGCTGGAAGGGTCTCGGAGGACACATTTTAGGCCAACCCTCTCGGTTTACAATCCAAGGAGCGGAGAGCCCCGAGAAGCCGAGTGACTTGTCCAAGGCCACGCAGCGAGTGTGTGCAAGGTGGGCGGGGAGCCCGGGACGCCCCGTCTCTCCTGTCCTCGCAGGTGCCTTCCTCCCCGCAGCCCGCAGGGGACGCTGGAGGAGGAGCTGAGCCGGGCGTGCCGGGGCCCCGGGCCGGGGCGTTCCGGGGGCGGTCCCCAGCGGCCGCGCATTCCAGAGCCAGCCGCGCGTCCCGGGGCTCGGAGGAGCCGGGGCAAGTTCCGGGCGCTGCCTGGAGCCGAGGTTCCAGGCCTGGGGGTAGCTTCCAGCCTCCAGACCCCGTGCGGTTCTGGGGACCCTCAGAAGCACCGAGCCATCCCTACCCTGGGAACTTACCGCAGACTCGCCGGGATCTGGGGTGAGTGGGGCCGCCGGCGGGTGGTTTGTGGGACTCTGGCAGAGCCGATGCTTTCGGACTCGCGACCTCGCTCTCGTGCGGCCCCTTCCCCAGGGCTCCCAGCTCTCTTCTTTAGGTCCTCTCTCTCCTTCCCCACGTCCCCCTCTTCAACACTTTTGCATTTCTTCCCCTCACCCCCTCCTCCCTTGTCTCCTGCTGTCAACCCCTAAGTTCGAGCCACCTCGTGCACAGAATTTTGGGCCTGGGGGAGGCGGAGCTTGGGTGGGCGAGCCCCAGCCCCACTCGGAGACAGGCTTCTCTCCGGGTCCCCTGCCTTTGCCTTCTCGGGAAGCCTCCTCGGGCGCACTGCCACCTCCTGGCCCAGCGTCGGGGTTCAGCGCCCGGGCCTGAGCACCTGCTTGGGCGCTGCGCTGGGTTTGGGTCTTGGCACGACTCAAGACAGCTGCTTCTCTGTCCCGCGTAGAAGGTGCCAGGAGTTTGGAGTCCGGAGTGGCGGGTTCCAGCCCTGGTTGTCACTAGCTGCTTTACTCTCCTTGCTTTTCCATCAGTGAAATGGGGAAAATATTTTTGTTTTTGTGTGTGTTTTGCGTGCAGAAAGCAAACGAGAAAGGACGTGAGAAAAGTATCTTGGAGAGAAGCCTTCCTTCACTCTCCCTCCTGCTGGTTATCTGCCCCTTTCCTGAGGACGTAGTTGTTCCAGTTGCCGGTTCTTTTGCTCCCTACTCTCCCCTATGCCAGTTTCTTGAGGGTAGGGACTGTCTGTGTATCGTCATCTCTGAGGCATCCTCAGCTCTTGGCACAGGGCCTGGGTAACAGTAGGTGTTTCATACATACCTACTGAGTGAAAGGATGAAAGGTGTAAACCCCCCAAATCCATTCAAATCTCAGGGACTGTTATTCTGATTGAGCGCCAGGCTGCGCTCTTACTCATGCAGCTGCACTTGTTTCTTCTGGACCAGCTGGAATCCTGCTGCCCCTGGGGCTGAGTCGTCTCCCAGGTGTCTGTAGTGAGTACTACGGTCCTGAAAGCTCCAGGGTGTGGTGGTGAAGGCTGCGCAATCGCACAAGTATCCGAGATTCCTTGAACATCTGCCGTGATGCCTGGTGCCACTGCAGTGGGCAGCTGGTTTGGAAGGATTGGGGATGCCTGAATGGGGTGGAGGTGGGAGGGGGAGGAACGGTTCTCTGGGGGTCAGGAGACCCTCTGAGTTACCTTGATGGAGGCATTTCCCCTCTCTGGGCCATGCCCTCACACATCTGTAAAATGAAGATGCGGGTGTGGAACAGATGTTTGTTTGTCTATGGTTGAGCATGCCATGCTCTTTGGTTATGTGGGCGGCACAGCAGTCCTCTAGACACACGCAAGGCAGCACAGCCCTCTAGACACACGCAAGGCAGCACATCATGTGCTTCTGCAGTAATAACTGAAAAAACCAAAAAGTGTTTTCCTACCCCAACTGGGGACCTCCTGTTCCCAGCTGTCCTGGGTTTATGAATCATGCTGTGGGGGTTACAAGTCGTGCTTCACGAAGTCTTCCACACACTGACCTCTCCAGACCTCAGAACTGACGCTCCATGCCTCAAAAGGTCTGGGAAATCCCAGAGGACAGCCAGAGAACCACTGAGCTGTGGTGAGGTGTTAGAGACACAAAACAAATGAGAGACTCTGGGGGCCTGTGGTTGGGTCAGATCCTGGGCCCTTGGGGGTGACAGACCAAGGGGATAAGGGCCAGTCGCAGCCTCAGCTATTTTTCCAGCCATATTCCAATCCCTCTTTAAACACTGCCTCTGCTTCTCCTCTATGGATTGAAACATGCAAACAAAGGAAATACTTCCAAGGAAAGAGGATATCTTGGTTGGGCTTACGCTACCACACATGGCACTGGCATAAAAAATAGGCATGTGTACTCACAAACACAGTTTATTGGAGTATAAGAGTCAATGTTGGCATTGCCAAACCCTATATTGTGCTCCCAAACTCTGACTGGCCCAGTAAGCTGAATTATGTTATAATGATCATACTTGCCATTTACTGAGTGCTTACTATAAGGTAGGCATAACTCTAAGTATGTTACTTGTATTAATTCATTTAGGCTTTACTACAATCCTGTTAGGGAGGGACTGTCATCACCTCCATTTTACAGATGAGGAAACAGGTCCAAAGAGGGTAACTCGCCCGCGATCACAGAGAAAGTAAGTGGCAGAGCTGTAATTTGAATGAAGGCAGCCTGGCTCTGGGGCCTATCCTCTGAACTTCATTGGAATTGGGGGTATCAGGTTCAGATCTTGCCTCTGTCACTTACTTTCAGGGTGACCTGGGGGAAGTTAAGTGAGAATTTGATAGACACTGTTCCAGTGGATCTCTAGAGACCTAGTACCCTTCCAACTCACTAGATAAACAGAAGGTGAACCTCAAGACAGAATGGAGACATCTAGCAGGAAAGGCTAAGATGTAGGTAGTTAGGAAGGAAAATCTGGTCAGAAGTACCGTTGCCTGGCCCATTAAACAACAGCAAGCCAGATTCAACTTCTAAACTGTATACTTTAAATTGCTTAGTTGTATAGAGCTAAAGCTTCCTTATTTTATTGATTTGCACTCTGATTGGCTGATTGGATATGTTTTTTGCTAGTGACTCACTATATTCATTCCGGAAAAATGAAACAGAAGTGGGAGAAGAAGAGACAGAGAAAATGAAATGGATTCCTCAAATTAGTTTCAATTAATGATGACGCAAACCTGGCATAAAAGTCTCTACTGCTAATCCCCTGCCCCAGGCAGACATTCGTAATTAGTACCTTGCTCCTTACCCAACACCAGGCCCTGGACTCCTTCTTAACTCAGTGCTCTGGACACCCCCACCAGGTGATACTGGAGCTTTCATTCAGTTCTCCCAGACTTCCCACTTCATTCTTCTGGGTATGATCAAGGAATTAGCAAGCAGCTAAACAGGAAATCTTTCCGTTTGTTTTCTAAGGTAGTAGGTGCCTTAGGAAACACCTTTGGGCTTTTTAAAGCTTAGTTTTCTCTTCCTTTTACTCTTTTCTGGTTTTTCTCTAACAACGTTCAACCCAAGACCATCCTGGAACTGGGGACATGGCTGTGGGGGAGGTTGGATGTCAGGAGAGCAGTCAGTCTTTGAGAGCTGGCCAGACCTTTCAAGATCACCCTGTCCATCCGTTCCAATTGATGGACAGTAAAACCCAGGTCCAGCTGGGAAGAGTGACTTACTCAGGATCATACAGTATGTATTTGTTTTCTAGTGCTGCTATAACAAATTACCACAAATTTAGGGGCTTAAAAGATGCCTACAAATTTATTATAGTTCTGCACATCGGAAGTCCAATATGGGTCTGGGAAAATAAAATCAAGGCGTCATCAGGCTGTATTTCCTTCTGGAGGCTCTAGGGGAGAATCAGTTTCCTGCTTATTTGAGTTGTTGGCAGAATTCAGTTCCTGTGGGTATAGGGCCAAGGTCACTGTTTTGTTGCTGGCTGTGAGCTGAGGGCCATTCCCTGCTTCTAGAGGCCACTGCCTTCCTTGGCTCATAGCTCCTTTCCTCCATCTTCAAAGCTAGTGACAGTAAATCAAGTCCTTCTCATGTCATGTCTCTCTGACCCACTCTTTTGCCTTCTTCACTTTTTTTTTTTTTTTTTTTTAAACCCGGGGCTTCATGCAGCCTTCTTCACTTTTAAGGGCCACATGATCAGGTCACAGCCATGTGATTAGGTTACACCCACCTGCCTATCCAGATAATCTCATCTCAAAGTCCTTGACTTCAGTCACATCTGCAAAGTTCCTTTTCCTTCTCTTCTTTTGGCTCTGCCCTCTGAGTCATGCTTCCTTTTTCATATTCAGGATTCTGGAGACCAGGACATAGATGTCTTTGGTGGTGGCGGGGGGGCATTATTCTGCCTTTCACACACATGAGGCCCACTTTGGGAGAGCCACCTGTTCAGGCTCACACATTGAGGCAACGCACTACCGCCGACCAGTGCTCCCGCAGCTCTGTCACGGAGCCTCCTCCCAGCCCCTCTCATGGAGCCCGCCACACAGCACTTAGTCACTGGCAAATGGCAATGATGGATGGTAGTGGCTTAAACAGGATGCTGGGGATTTGGCCTGGGCTTTCTCCTCTGCTAGCTCTCTGTTGGTTTCCAAGACTCTGATTGGTTGGGTCAGATGGTACGTGCTGCCTTACACAGCTCTGGCTGTGCCCTGATCTCTTTGAAATATCCTGGTGTTTTTCCATTTTTCCAGCCACAGAGAAGCAGATGGAAACTCAGGCAGGGAACAACTCTGCAGCTTGTTAGGAAGTTCGGAGAGTCAGAGGCCAGTTCGGGTGAAATGAGAACAGAGTACTCCTTAGAGACCTTGGGTCATTGGAGAAAAGCCTGTGATTTGATTCATTTCACATTTTTGGTAGTCGTAGGTCCTGTCCATTCCTTCCTCTGGCCCCTTTATTTGGACCGAAGGTCCCTGATGAAATGACTGTGCTGGGTTGGTAAATGTTTGAGGCTAACTGTTACACAATGGGAGGAGAAATACTTCCAAGAGTAAGTGTGAAGCTGGTTTGTCCTTTTCAGATTGTACTTGGCATGGAAAACCTGCTCCCCCTTTTATCAGCCTCCCTGTCCTCTTCTGAGAACAGAAAGATTCACATCTTGGGCAACAACTCTGCTCCCCAACCCCTGCTCCTCCCTCCCCACCTCAGTGCCCAGTTCCTGAGCACATGGAGTCAGAACTCAAATTTGAGCTTACCAGCCCAAGCAAATCAAGCAGCGGGAATCCTGGAGGACTTCATTCTGAAAAGCCAGCTCTCCTCTGCCTGGCATGTACAGGGTGGGCTGGGGAAGGAAGAAGCCCCCATAATCCTTTCTGAATGTACAAAGAGGCTAGAAAATGATAAAATCAGAGGATGCCATGTTATTCTGGAGACAAGGTTCTGACGTTTAGGATCACTGGAACTTTGGCAGGGATGAGGATTCCTTCTGGACCTCTT